TAAAAGATGGTCACCAACATCGTGTGCGTGGCCTTTTGCATTTTTCAGTCTTTTTCTTAGAAATACAGCTTATCGTCCATTTATAATTCTACAGTAATCCACTACATCCATTGATCAGCAAACAGTTCTTCAAAAAGCTTCTTTAAAATATCACCATCCCTCTATCGATATGCTCATGGAACTTTCGGTCAAGCATTTTGAAGCACAACCATATGCCTGGCGCAAGCAGTGAGAGTGATTATTAGCTGGGTTTAAAGCGCAGTTGTGGTACTGTAAGTTGCACTTCCGACAACAATCGAAAAAGCAGAACGCTAAATAAGTGTTTTCCTCGATATCAAGTTGTCCAGTTTTGTTACAGAAAATAGGGTTGTTTTCAATCCACACAAACTTCTGCCAAAAAAATAACAATAAGCCGTAAATAATAAAGTAATAATTAAATAAATATATAAAAAAGTAATCAAATAAGCTGATATCATTCGTAAATGATTAGAGGAATATCCCAGACCACAAAAACCCTAAATAAAAAAAGGAAGAACGACGTTTTACCACAAACAAATGTGAAGCAAATGTAAAAATGATAAATTTGATGAAATTTTTGGACCCCTAAATTTTTTTACATAAAGCCAGATTTCGTACTACGTAATCTATTAGCCATTTCGGAGTTGCGTAGGGAAATGGGGCGAGTTTCAGATTTAAACTAATCGATGAACTGACACAATCATATAAAAAATCATGTTGAGATTGGTTATTTGACGAAGTTTGGTGCTCTAAAATTGACTAGGAATCAAGTTATGACTCTTGAAACATGGTTAAAGATCCTTACCAAAGTCCATAGTTTTGTGACTGAGCGTCCCCCAAAACCATATAAACTCTTTAAAATTTTTCAGTTTTTGTTTTAAACTGTAAAATTCGTCATGCATCTACTACTTGGAAGGAACTAATTCGAAAATCACTGTGTTTGCCCGTTTTTAGGAATATCACAGAAATCGTGAAAAAAAATTAAGAGTTTATATGGTTTTGGGGGTCGCACGCTTTCATAAAATTACTGAACGGAGGTTTGTATGGATCTTTAACCATGTTTCAAGAGTCATAACTTGATCCCTGTTCAACCTTAGAGCACCAAACTTGACCAAAAAACCAATCTTAACATGAGCTTTTATATGGTGGTGTATCGATTAGTTTGAATTGGAAACTCGCCCCAGTTCCTTACGCAACTCCGAAATGGCTAATAAAATTGTTATCGTTCCGTTTTATTAAAATGGCGATTCTTACACGCGGCGAAGTTGAGATTGTTTGTTCACCGCTGAAATGCAATGAAGGGTAAAAATGTTTCAGCTTTAAGATCTGACTTGATAAAATCGCTCGTCAGTAAGTCATATAGCCACTGTCTTTATTAATCATACAACGCTGCACATCCAAATTAAAAACAAACGGCGATAATTTAATTACCTCTAGTTCGGTGCTGTTAGCAGCTGGACAGTATTTTCTACAATTGCATGGTGGAGCAGTTGTTGAAATAGTTGGTTGTAAGGTACTCTCTGTAGCCTGCAGTTTCGCTGCAAGATCAAGCATTGCTTCTCTCCTATCTTCAGTATTTTCCTCAAGTTGGTGTGAACTTTGGAGGTCGCTGTTCGTTGATAGGCCTTTGCTTGCTATGCTATTTCCATTAAGTGGAAACAAATTCAGCAACCATATACACACAGTTATTAGCAAAAATACCCCTTGAATAGTCATTTTGGACCTCTTCTCTATTCACATCGGTTAAAATCTTGCAATAAAAAGAATACAGGTTTAGCAAAACCTTTAATTTTGCAAATTTTGGAATGTTTGAATATATGAATGTCAATGGATGGATTCAGACCGGTATCGAAGTGAAGCAAAACTATGTACAATATAATCGCTTTAAAATAACCGAATCCCAACCACTTGACGCCTTTTTTGACTCTGATAAATTTTCAAGATGTTCATTTCCGTTGTTTTATGCTAATTTACGTGAAAAAGAATTAGACGAAGGCAATGTACTGTGGGTTAAATTTTTTAAAAAAGAAAACATGTCCATTTAAATTTTGTAAAGTAGCGACTGTATGCCTGTATCAACGTTTTCTTAATTGTTTTGTTCCGTTGCCTACATTTTTTTGTTTCTAAAAACAGTTTATTTCAATGCAAACGATTCCCATGAGTTATATTGTGGGATGCGACTTGTGGAAGCACTCGACTACCATTGCACGGAACAGTATCATTAGTATCTTAGGTTGAAAAACGGTTAAAGTACACAGTACTATTTTTGTTTCTTATTGAAGCGGAAAGCAATTTGCACCTTGTTGTACTGTTGACATTTTTTATAATATATGATGACAAATAGCTGCTGAGTAAACAAGGACGTGACGAATCGATCCATGGCTACCAAAACAAAGCAGCGGAGCAAAATTAGCGACCACGAAGCTAACTCAACTTGCTGGAATTCTCGTCCTGTCAAAGTTCCTAACTCCATACGAGTTGAAGGATTCAAATGGCAAAAAATACATTGCCGCAAACTAGCTGCGCCCCATGACGATGAAGAGGACAGCATGAAAACAAAACAAAATAAAACAGTAGAAAGTAAAATATTTGTATCTCAATGAGCCTAAATTTAACCGGACAACTCCCTAGCTAGGCTAGATACAAGGGGTACAGCCACAAATTCTATGATTGGTTCTCATACATCATGCCATTTCGTATAGAGACTAAAATTAATTGCAGTTTTTGATATCACGTAGAAATTAATTTCAGGACGGAAAGCCAATCAGTGATTACCCATGCAGGTTAAGCTTAATTAAGGAACTGAAAGTATTTATATTTATATTATGATGTATTTATATTTAGAAAAGAAATAAAAAGAGAAAGAGAAAGCAATCTTTGAAAACTTCATATCGCACGTAAATTTTCTATAGCTCTTATCGTCCTTTCTGTCAATAGCATGGTGTCTTTTAGGGATCAAATAAAGTTTAATACACGCCCAGGTGGATCTCATTTAGAGGTTTGATTCCAATTTCCCGACGGGTGTCCTCTCCCCCTAGTCATATAGAAGGTACCCACCTGGTAAAACTGACCCCTCGTTATGACTTCTTTTGCCTACCATAATATATAGTTTGTCCTGCCAGCACAGTTATTAATTTGCATTTAAGCCCCTTCCTGTAACGTTGTAAAGAGCCAGAGGACTCGGCAAACGTTTCTGGTCAAAGTTAAAGATAATAAATAAATAACAATTATTCACCGAAGTGGAGGTGGCTAGTAGCCACCGACACTGAGGTAATATATACTAAAACAGTGAGATAATTGAGCACAAAAATAGGGCCATTTATACGAGGAAAAAATAATAAGACGCATCTTACATAGGACGCGTCTTGAATAAGACGCGAACTTTCCGTATAAGCGGCACATTTCGTCTAAAATAAGACGCGTCTTATTTTAGAACATCCCTTAACACCTGTTCTTAGATAAGACGCGTCTTAGCTAAGACGAGAAAAGAAAACTTCGTATAAATGACCTTCGCGTATTACATAAGACACGAACGCATTGTACGCATGCGTTAATTTTTGGCGCGCCACGTTGGATTGCCGTTCCTACGGGAAACATGAAAACGAGTCAAGAATAGAAATAAGACGCGAACCATTTATACAAGCTGTTCTCGTCTTAGATAAGACACGGCTCGTATAAATGGCACAGTTCGCGTCTTATTTAAGACGCGTCTTATTTTTCCTCGTATAAATGGCCCTAATGATGATTTTTAACTCTTTACTGTTGCCAACGATTGCAATTTTGGCTCGCGATGACCGAACGGCCGCGGTCGTCGCTTTTTTCTTGGCGACAAATAAAACTTTTGAAGGCGTTTGTTTAGCTCTTGCGGGGAAGTGTCTTCAAAAGGAGTTGTGAATTCTTTTTGTATTTAGAATCACTCTGTAAAAAAGATTATTAAATTTAGTTTTAAACTTATTTTATGAACAAGTCAACTAAATAAAGTAACGCAAGACTTAAGCTTAATTTGCATTTGTAAACAAAAAACTTTCACCGGTTTTATCGATAAATTCAAGTCAAAAAGACAAAGCTTTACCTGTTAAAACTTCCAAACCGAACTTCGTCACCTTCTTCATGTATTTTAGGAATAGCTTGATTGATTAGTTGTGAAATTTCTTGGTTTGTTACGGCAGCAAACCGGGAAGGCATTTTGCTCGCCACTTACGGGAGTTTGGCGTCGCTCGCTCGGAGGAACTGGATGTGAATCAGTGAATAGTGCAGGATATTTACTGATTGAGGAGCCAATCAGAGCGCACGAAAAACACTATCAACTGTTTTAGTATATACTAAACAACAAGATAAACGAAGATAAAGATAGGCTAAGGAACTCAGACTGGATCCTTTAATAGAATCGTTGTTAGTGTGTAAACGAACGTTTGGAGCGTAGCCTACTGAAACGGTTAATTTTGGACAGAGCGCGCAGAGGAAGAAAAGTTATTTGTGACCTTGTTGGTTGTTGTTAAATTTTACAATTGATACCGCGAATCGCCTTTGTTTTACTGTAGAATCTAGTAAAACGTCATACGACCGTGTATCAAACCTGGTATAATGTTATCCAACGCTCCGCAGTAAATAAAAGAAGGCGATTAGAGCTATCAATTGTAAAATTTAACTACAACCAAGGTCACAGGTAACTTCTCTGCCCCTGTGTTTTAAATGGCAAGGAAGCAAGTTGACAACTTAAATAATGACCAGAACAACATGCAGTTAAATATACATCAGCCAATTTATTGATTTTGCAGGTAATTGTGTTACATAAATGACAAAAGTTGTTCTGTACCCTAATCCTATCACTTCGGTGGCTGTAGTGGCGATGGGTTCATTAGTAGCGGGTAGTGTTGGAAGCTTGTAAGGTACTTCCGAGTACGATTTCTGGTCGATGCAGTCGCATATCCATTTGTATGCTCCGCGCATGCACGCACCGTATGTGTACCCGGCCATGCTTATCACGTGTAGAAGGCGTGGTTACATTCACGGCGGCAGTCAAAAGTTTGTTTGCAAACATACTTCTTGGATGGCGGTGAAGCCGGGAGCATGATGGAGGCGGCATCTCGACACAACACTGGGAAATTTTCGTAGCTTAGGTAGTTGTCTTCTTCCTGGAATGAAAAAGAGGGAGAGAAAGAGAGAAAAAAACGTAAATTTTACATCAGAAAATGCCATTTAGATTTATTTTAAACAGTCGATTTTTTACCAGCGAAGACCCCCAAAAATTAAAGGTCGCTATCGACGAGAGGACGGTTTCTGCCAACGAGAATTGAGCCACAGTGGCTCCTCTTAGTCGTACAAGAGTCTCGTATACATCTACATTTTGGCATAGAAATTCTATTATTACATGCAGTTTTTTATTTACGACATGTGTTGCCATTTTTTTCACTAAAAGAAGATTGCATTTAATTGCTTGTAGTCCATTAAATACAATAAACATAGAGATAAAACCATTTCTTAAGTTGTTTCCTACAGGGGGATAAAAACCGGCAATGGGAAATTGCAAAGCCGTCATTCAAACTGGTGGTCGCAGTCGCAGACAGTTGGCACTGAACTGTACATTGTACCCAGCTCGTTTGATAAGCGTAAGAAAAAAGTTTACAATAAAAGCAATATAAACAGGTGAGCTTTACAGTGATCTAGGCAAAACTGACATCAATTGCAAAAAGAAGGAATAAATAAGAATGAGGATAAGGCTGTATGTGCCTTAAGCAAGCACTCCGGTAGGTTGAAACTGTTTTTCCGAGATGGTGCTGTCTAAGCAGTACATCATTCTGCAATGCTGTATGTCAAGTCAAGTTTATAAGCTGTTAAAAACTTAAGGGCCATCTTGGCCTTGAATGCTTACCCGAACGACAAGAGGGAGCCTGCTCACGTGTAATTGAGTACACTCGTCTTTACAACTGCAGTTGCTATAGTCATCTCCTTGTTCTCGTGCAAGGGCGTCGACCATCATTTCCTCGGGCTCGTCTTCTCCCCAGCCAAGATCATCATCCAAGTTTGTTTTAGCCTTATACCAGTCAACTGCATCCTCTGTTAGATATCCTTGGGTTTGCAGAAAGGCCGTTAGAAGGACTAGAAAACAAATGATCAGAAATGACTTCATCATAATCCTGATCTTAGCTATGAATGTTAATGATGCAGATAGGTAGCTTCAACGTGCCAAGCCACCAGATTGCCGTGAACTGAATGTGTTTGCTTGTATAAAGAGCTCTTATATCACAAAAGGAAAATATGAAATGCTTATCATTTTGTTTGTGATTTGCTAGTTAGAAAAGATTGCTACTTCTAAGGCCGTTGTCACGTATACTTGGATTTTAATTGGACCATTTTATTTGGTAGCGTTTTAAGTGTTCACTTTATGTCGGCCTTAGGGCTAAAATGCAACGCTTGCATAATTTAATTACAACTTGATCGTGTTTTACACGCGAAAATCAGCAAAAGCTAGAATTTTCACACAAGTGATAATTCTACTTACATTTCGTCAAAATACGTCACTACTGAAATTCCACGCAAAATTATAACATTTCAGTTCCTTTTGCTTTTTTTTTTGGTGATCGTGTCGAAGTGCTTAATTGTATTTGCCAACAGAAGTAGTCCCAGGTCGGAACAGGAAGTACAGCCTCTTAACTCAAGAGTGGTATGTCAAGTTAAAGTTAAGAGCTTTTATCAATAGATTATCAGAGGATCTATATTAGAGCTGCGGAAAAATTACTATTATTTCAATATTTATCAGTGAGATGTATCGATAAGTTTGACCTTTTCCCGGCTTTGCGAGGACATTCTTGAAATTTCAGACTCCGCTGAAAGGTTGCAGTCATTGAATTGTTATCGAAAAGTCCAGTCAGGTGGATGTACTGAAATATTATCAATTGCTCTTTAGAGAATCCATATAATAGAGCATGAACAGTATTTATCACTGTAATGTAAAGCGGATCCATACAGTAAATCAAGTAGTTTTGGTTATAGGTTTTACCTGTGTATTGCGTTTTCGGCGAGGGTTTTGTAACTGCAACTAAATGCAAATACAGGAAAACAATATCACCTACAGCTGTAATTTTATCTGAATACCCTTCCTCTATCAGCCTGATGGCGTCAAACAGTTTACCACCTTTAGGGTTTTAAAAGTTAGTGTAAAGTGGAAGACTGACAACCAAAAAGGTTATCCATTTTCCCTAAGCTCAATGCTTCTCTTTTTTTTAAACTCATGAAAACGTACCCCCGCCCTAGTATTCTTTTCCTTGTGCAGATATCACTCTTTCCATAGCTACCCCCAAGGACCTTTTCCTAGTTTATCGCGTTTACCTCTCAATGCAAGGGCCATCAAAGGGCCAGGGGATTTATAGATTATATTTACCTGCTTAAGCTAAAAGGTCGCTGGCTTTTATATGATATTCAGTTTTTTTTTATTCCGCTGGAGGAAAAAAAAAACTCCTTGCAAATATGTCGCAAATTTATAAAAGACGGAGGAGTAATGGCCTGTTTACATGGAGATGGGGAAACTCAGGTAGGTGAAGTAACCCGCCTGTCCATATTTAATCTCTCATTTTAATTTGATCACGTGGGTAAGGCGGCTGGTAGGTCGGTCTGCCAGACCGGGTGACTTTCCCAGCTGGGGTCTCAAGGTGGGGTAACCCCCACCTAGCCGGGGTCGGAGTAGTGATACATCAAACTCGCGCAAAATTGACTTGGGCGGTGACTTTTATCATTATTAAAGGTAACGATAGAAAACCACAGTACGGAAGGTTGCAGTAAGAGTAGCAAGTGAGTGTAGAAGAGCATTAATCGCCAAAACACTTGTTTTTTGCCTGCTTTTTTCTTTGTTTACGTGCTTAGCGACCATTGAATATAATCTTGAGAAAGTGTATCCCGGGATGGCGGGGTTGTAAGATTGCATGTTAAGGAGGGTTATTGTTTTACCCCACCTAAGCGGGTTACCTCACCTACCTGGGGTTCCCCACTTCCATGTAAACAGGCCCTTACTATAGGGCAAAGATGTTAATTGCAAATTTGCATACCAGAAAAATAAAAGGGGTGCGACATCTTTTTTAATCCATATACCATTACGACAGTGACAATTACGCTAGAGATGCAGTTCATCCATTGATATCCTCTTAACTATCCATCGAAATGGACAACAGCCTAACAATTGTAAGGATTGGTCTCAGTGTTCACTTTCTTTCATCATCGTTGAGGTATTATTTTTAAATGCCTTTGAGCCCTGAAATGCACAAGTTAATAGGCACAGTAGTCAATCTCTTTTTAAACTTTCAAAAATATATAATTAGCTTATATTTACTATTATACAGAATAAAACACAATGTTGAAATATTTTATTTTGTGATTTTTATTTTCCTGACTTCTTTTTGTCATTACAATTAAACGTGTAAGCAAATGCTAATTGTAAGAAGTAATAAAAAATGATTATAAAACTCAAACATAACAATATACTGTAACGAGAAAAGCGATGAACTGAGTGTTAGAGACAGTAATTTCTTCCTATACCTTACATTTGAAAGGGTGCAATAGTTTTGCTATTGACGCTCGAATACAAATACAAATAAATGAACAAGTGGACGCCACGCATGCACGAACAGCCGTTATATTCAGGGGTAATAATTCTCTAAAGGAGTATGCTTCTCCAAGCATTTGCTCATGCACTTGTAAGCGTTACGATAGCAGAACTCGGGACCGCCGCTATAACTTCCAACAGATTTCATGCATTTAGCATAGACAGCATTGCAGGCTCGACAACAGTCGAACTGATAGAGCGCCAGGAACTTGCATCGATATCTGGGAGTCTTCTTTAACACCACTGTCGATCCCAAAACGCAGTTGATTGGCGTGTCTTCAAATTTGTGAAAACTTCCCTCCAACTATATTTAGACAAGAAAAGCAAGGTCAGTCCTTCGAATCATTCATCTTTTTACTCCAAAATTAAAATTTACAAGCGAAAAAAAACAACAACAACAAAAATAAAGAGTTTGGAAGGTGGTGCTACAAGATATGGACGTTTTTCATACGGTAGTCTGGGTCATGTATTTTGCAGCCTAAAATACTCTGTAAATCTATTGAAATAACCTAAGGAGCAGTTTGTTTCGCGAATTGCCATAAAATAAGACGTTTGTTTCTGATTGCTTACCCTTAAATATGCCGGTATATCCAGCTTCTCACAAGATGGCTCACAATGAGCCAAGCACTTTGTCGACTCGTCATTCTGGGAAGATGTTAAGAGAGCTGGTTCGTCTCGGAATTCTAAGCTTGTCGTTTCAGGCAATAATGCTCTGTGTTCTGGACGGAAGAATCTCTTGACATGTTCTTCAGTGGTGAAAGCGTTCACAAAAGCTAGAGCAAGGGATAGAGTAACAAGGCATGAACACGTCTTCATTGCTTCTCCCCGGCAAGATAAGCTGCAAAATTTTGGTGGTATTAATGCCACGCTCTAAGATTCTCTCAAATGAAAAAAAAGGCTTTGCTTCACTGTCTTTTTATGACAGGTATATCATTATATCGGTACAGATAATGTGTGGATATTGTCCCTGCGCTATCATTCACGTTTACTATTGAATGGACTTCGTCAAATACGTGACTCCTCTTAGGATTAGATATTAGCTAATCAAGATCTACCGTTGCTATGGTAACAAGAGATATTTCTCGTTTTTCAGGACTCCTTTGCTTTGCACACAGGTAGTGATGTGTGCCAAACAGACTTTAATCTGATCACAGAAAGCATTAATTCAAAGTTGATTTTTTTAAAAATGAAACTTTCCAAAATGTAATTGGTTGTTGGTGTTTAAACAGGATCAATAAAGTTAGACTAGGCTTCAGTTTAAACAGCTCTACCATCACTAATTAATCTTTGACTCATATCTCGAGGATGTTTGTTTTGCGCTTTATTTTCGCTTTACGATTTTCTTTCGTCGCTTTTGCTGGTACAAGTCAAGTGATATGGATTTCTGAAGTCTAATTTTCGTACCTACTTTTGCACAGAGATCATGTCGTGATCCCGGCAATCATCTTAACAGGGGTTGGTCTTGGTTGGTTGCATTTTCCCAAAAATAGTCAGAGAAAGAAATATTGCACATTAGCCAGGAAAACGTTAACAGGAAAAAGAGTGTTTAATTCAAAGGGCAAAAGGTCTCTAATCAAGTATAACTAAATTAACTCAATTGGGGTTTTATTAATCTTAAGAAGTATGCTGGTTTCAGTTGCGTGCATGAAAACAAATGCAAAGTACTGTTCAATATTAGTAATTTGTAAGATACTAAAAATCTACCTTTTCACTGCTAAACCCAGCGAAACATAATGTGCAACAAACAAGCAAAGCCGTCGAGGTATCAAAAGCAAATGTGGCTGGTAAGCACATGATCTAAGACTTATCTAATTTGTTTAAAAATGCTAAAATGACAACAAAGAAAAAAAAACAACAACAACAAAAACAGCATCACAGTAAGGCTGTCATACCGTACTGCAAAGACAAAAAAATATATGACAAAAAATGACAACAACAAAAAAAAGAAAGAAATGAATAAATGAATGACCCAAATAAAACAAAAGCAAGGTGGCACAGAATTGCAAGACATTAATTTTTATTTTATCCTCCATTTGATTTATTATCCACTATACTGTGTATTATATTTAGCTTGCTTTCCCTTTATTTTGTATGCATATTATGGTTGGTTTAGCCATCATCAGTGATTTGTGATGACCCCTCTACGATGCCACTTGATGTATCGTGGTTCATGTTAATCTGCGCTTAAATTTGCCTCATAGACTCTGAAGTCATTTTTTAAAGATTACATAAACCAGATCTGCAGTTGGTTAGTTCAAGAGAGGGAGAACCAGCTGTAAATCTTTGCTGTCTGGATCTGTTAATGCACGGGTTTAGATTTGTCGCATATCAATCTTCACTTGTTTGTAATTCTTGATAAAAGAAAGTTAGGTGTGGTTCTACCT